CATATGTGTATGTATGTATGACTGAGTTTAATTAGAGTTACTTGCACGAACATGGGTCTGGGTTATTTACAGACGTATAAGCAACTTAACTTACCAGTGGCTACACCATCCACAGAAGAAAATGACTTCTTTTTTAGCAACCATTAACTGCCAATAGCTCCTCAGGGAGAGGTGGGACCTCATAAGCACCTCCCCCAGCCATGATGGAATGTTGACAGGCCCTATCTTGTTGGACAGTATTTTTTTTTTTGCCGTTTTATTTATTCTTTTTAAATTTTATTATTTAAAAAAATTTATTGAATTTTCCTGTATCTCATACACAACATCTTAATTATCTTTATACCTCCTTCCCCATCAGCACCCTCCCACAGTCCCCCCACTGGATTTCATAAATTCTGTCACTTAAGTTAGTATCCTCTGATGTCCTTCAGCGCATGTTAATCCACTGGGGTCTAGTTAGTCTATCTAGAGTCACGCCCTTAAAGAAGATCAGCTGTTCCTCACCTAGCAGTAATCAGCTGCCTGTTGGGGGACCCTGCTGCTAAGGTGGTAGTCCTCCATGTCCAGATAGCTCTAAGGGGCTCGGCGCTATATGGAAGGACTCCCTTTCTCAGCGGGGGTCTCCTGCTCTCTGCCTGACTTACCTGGAAAGTGCCACCAAGCACGGATGCCTGACCTTATTTGGAACATGACCTTTGGCATAGCTACCTGCAATAAAACTGCCCCCAGGTTTTTTCTATATGATAATCAGGCATCGCCCTATAGTCAGATGATAGGATCCCCCTACCACATGTAAATAAAGGATACTATGAGCACCTATCAGCTGAAGCTTTGGCTGCTGCCTCCACACTATATTTTCCCTGACCCCCACTGAATAAATGGAGCTGTATCACTGAATCTGACTCCCTGGAAGGGCTTTCTTCCGTTGTGCTCACTGGCCATCCTGACCCCGTTCCTCTCCTCGCTTCTGCTCCCTTTGTCCTCACGGACTGGTTGCCAACGACCCACGAGGGGAGGGAGAGGCCCACAGCTGCCAATAGTTCTTTGGCTAAGGTTAGGGCCTGCTGCCCGTTTCCACAGTTCTATGCTGGGGTTTTGTCTGCTTGTGTTTGCATGGATCCTGTGCATACTGACACCATTGCTGTAGGTTTAGATGTACAAGAGTTATTTTTTAAAGATCTGTTTATGCGTTGTCTGCATGTATGTATATGTGCACTGAGGTCAAAACAGGGTGTCAGAGCCCCTGAAACAGAGTTATAAATGATTGTGAGCCACCATAGGGGTGCTGGAAAGCAAATCTGGGTCCTCTGCAAGAGCAAGAAACTGTTCTTAATTGCTGAGCCATCTCTCCAGCCAGTCTTGTTAATAGGCAAACTTTCTTACTTACTTTCATCTCTTTAAGAGCACCTCCTCCTACACCTAAGACAAAGATTTAAACCTATTTAGACCTCTGTCCCCTGATCTCCCCCATTTACACTTAATGCCTGACCTGACTGAACTGCTGCTAAGCAGAGCTACAATCCTGACTCAAGCATTTCTCTTTTGGAATGGTTCCTGCTTCTCTGGTAGAGCTAGGAGCTGCTTTCCTCTGTGCTATCATTTTTCTTCATGTGTCTGTGTGTGTCTGTGTGCATGCACATGTGTGTGAGCGTGCATGCGTGTGTGTGTGTGTGTGTGTGCACATGTGGGTACAAAGCAGATAGATGATAGGTAGGCAGGTAGATTGAGTGAGCGAGCTGTTATCTAACTGGACTGCCACCCTGCACTGCAATCTGGCTGCACACCTACCTCTGTAGATGGTAAGTAGCTTTAAGACATGAATTGTTATCTTTTCTGTCTCATATACATCTTACTCCAGAAATCTCTGCTTCAAGGTGTTAAAGAATGTAGGAGGAATTATTCACAGTGCCTCTGGATCAGTTTACTCAGTAGTTACAGCCAAACAACTGAACAGGTATTCATGCTCTAACAACTTCATAGCCACCTGAAAAAACAACCTATGCATATTAAAAGAAAATATTTTATATCATTAGTAAATAACCATAATTAATCACCAATGGAATGCATTTAACCTATAGGGCTCTTCATACTTCAAGCATCAAAATGGACACCCCACCCTCATTGCCTGGTTCATACAGATTTGGGCCAGGGGTTTGTTTTTGTTACCACTGAAATGACCATTGAAAACAGTTCTGCTCAACATCCCACAGATTCTCACTACTTTCTTTGGAAACTAAAAATATTCCACAACTGGGCATGGTGCCACCGGGTTTTAAATCCAGCACTTGAGAGGCAGAGATAGGCAGATTTCTATGAACTGTCTGGAAAACTCTGTTTTCTTGTGGTCATTCACTTCCTCTCTTACAATCTTTCTGCCTCCTCTTCTGCAATGGTCCCTGAGCCCTAGGTAGCAGAGGTTTGATATAGGTTCCTATTCAGGGATAAGCACTTTGCAGCCTCTTATTCTCTGCACCTTGGCCAGTTGTGGCTTCCTGGGTTAATCACTATCTGTTGTATGAGGGCCCATTTTCTCTTTGTTCTTTTTAAAAATACTTTATTTATATTTTTATTTTATGTGTATAAGTGTATTGCTTGCATGTATGTAAGTGCACCTATGTCATATAATCCCCTTGGAGGCCAGAAGAGGGTGTTGGATCCCCTGGAACTGCAGTTAGGGATGGTTATTAGCTGCCATGTGGGTGCTGAGGACCAAACCCATGTCCTCTGCAAGAGCAGCCAATGTTCTTAACCACTGAGCCAACTCTCTAGCCCAAGGCCCCATTTTCTGACAAGACAAACATACGTTATGCAGCCTACAATGATAATGATTGCATATGATACCATTCTCCTTTATTCATTTATGAAGGTTAGGTAAATTTCAGTTAATCAATAGGTCTTTATCAAACATTAGTAAGCTCAACGACATTCCAAGCAAATCTGAGAGAGAAGGAGAGGGGAGAACAGTGCAGTGTCTGTTTGTGCTGGACAAGGAAGAATGATGTCTGCCCCACACACTGTTATTGCTTACAGAGATGCATGCGACACACAAACTCACAATGAGAAGCACAGCATAGAATCAAGCACTAACTTATATAAGGGGGTTAGCTCTCTATCTTCTGTGTCTCAACTTCATCAAGAGGAGTAATTACAAGTATCAGAGATGCTCAATTAAGAAAGACATCAAGATAAGGGTAAAGATTTACCCCTAAATTCCAAAACACTGGTAACAGTACAAGTCTGAGTAGACAGAGAGAACAAAAACTTTACCTCCATCATGGAAGAGAGTGAGAGATTCCATGAGACCCCTGGGATTCATGAATTCATCTAAACTTATAACTGTCTGCCCACCACCCTAGATGTCCACAATCTCATCAAAACAAAGAAAACTGCACACACTGGGAAGGTGGTGTATAAAGATTAAGTCACTGGCAATGGGGTAAACCTAGCTGCAAAATGTACATCAAAATTAGCTCAGTTTAAGGGAGAGAAAAATAAAACAAAGGTTTGGTATATTTCTAGGACAGAGATGACCAAATTGAGGTTATTAATAGATAGTTTCTGGGAAAAATATTCAAATACATTTGGGTATAATGCCCAGTTGTGGATCCTGTGAACTACAACAACTGATCTGGTAAAATATGCCCACTGGTGCAATAGTGGCACGAATGTTATGGGAGTGACCATTCTCTAACTGTATTTAAGGTTCCCTTCATAAGATGGAGCCTAGGAGCTGGAGAGATGCTTCAGTGATTAAGAGCACTAGCTGTTCTTCAGAAGACTGGTGACAATATGCACAAGCCTCATGCAAGCTCAACCAGACAAGATCCCAGCATAGCCATAGGGAAGTGGGTATGAAACTCCAACCCAATCTAGGGAAATTTTGGCTGCTGGGAGGGAGAGATGACAGTCTCTTCCAAGGATGGAACTCTTGGTAGGTTAACGAGGCTCCAGTGGATGGATCCACACTGACAGACATTTGGGGGGACAAATTAGATTTTATAGGTCAATGACCCCCACCCAATTTAATGTAGTCTATTATATAGAGTATATAGAGAGTATATAATTACATATAGTATATATGTATATTATATATAAGTATATATAAATATACATTCTATAAATATGCATAATATATTTAATGAATTATATAAGTATATATAAATATATACTATGTAAGTATATATAATATTTATATATTATATATAATAGAGTACATTAAATTGGGTGGGGACATTAAGGGGCAGTGTGGATAGGAGAGGGGCTCTAAATACCATCAAATTATGTTTTATGAAAATCACAAAAATTCCATTAAAAATGTTTAAAAAAAACCAGGTATAATGAAACAGGCAGGCAAGTCTCTTTCTTACAAAACTTCTTGGAGCCAATAACATGCTGACATGCATGGCAGACTGGAGAGGGAGGATGTCATATGCAAGATTTCCCTCACATCACCATTGATATCAAAATGTCTAGGTATGGAGAAAATAAAAGAGAAACAGAATGCATAGGAAAAGAGCTAGATGCTTTGGTAAGGCCTTCAGCACCATGGACATTCGTAACGACCACAATGACTCCACACAAAGCTTCCTAGGAGTCGCACAGTCTTCGGAGCTTCTCTACTACCCTCACCACAATTCTATGGCATGGAGTAATTACCATCTCTGTCTACTGAAGGAAAAGGAGATAAGAGATTGAGTAAATTGCTAAAGGTCACATGGCTAAAACTCAGTCAAGCCAGACGTCAGACTATAGTGGACTCTAGCATTATTCTACATCAGTTAATGAAGTTCCTATTCATCACTTCAAAATAAATTATTACTTGGATATTAAACAAGATTGGGAAAAATAATGTTTAATTTAAATAGAAGCATGGGGGATTTTAGAAGCCCTACTAAATGAAATTGGAGACAGGGCAATGTTAAAAACACCTGTAATCATAATCATGCAGTATGCAGTCACTACACACTCAGGGAAGCAATGAGGTCCACGGAAATTCTCACCGTGACTCTCTTCATGTCTAGCTGGCGCAGCTGCATCATATTCTGAAGGACTGTGTGCTTGTACCATGACTCTTGAGCTATTGGATTGCCATCAAAGGTGATGTCTGAGAGGGAAGTTGAGTCAGCAAGGCAGGAAACGCTGTCAAAACTGCAGGAGAGAAACCACAGCATTGTTATGAGGCCTTTCAAATAATACTTTCAGTTTTTAATAGACTTTGTTTTCTTTTTAAGTTTTTGAGACAGAATCTTAGTATGTAACCAGAGCTGGCCTAGAACTTACTTACTATGTAGATCAGGCTGGCCCTGAGTGTACAGTAATCCTCATGCCTCAGCCTCCTGAGTGCTGAGATGATAGGCATGGGCCACCATGCACAACCCTTTGAATAGACTTTTGAAAGAACATTTTTAAATTTACAGAAAAACCAAGATGAGAGTACACTGAGTTCTCACACATTCAGTTCCTCCCAGGCTCCCCAATAAACACTTTGCATTAATTTAATATACATGCATACATATATATGTATACATATGTATTTATCATTTCCTTAACTTCTGAGAGTACAAGATTTTCTAGACTCATGTATTTCTTCCCCATTCCTGGAATCAGTCATTTCTCCAAAGCACAGTGGTTCCTCCTTTAGGTATTGGAATAGCCGCAAAGATACCGGAGGGAGTTGTATTTTTTGCTACTGTGATGCCATTTCCTTAGGCCCTCCCAGTTGAGAGAGGAAGTGTGTGTGTGAACAATAACCTGTGTTATGTATGCAAGTGTCTCAACATTTTTCTATATAACCATCTGTGTCTATATTAAGCTACATACAAGCTCATGCTGATGTCTGCAAATCTAATCCATAACCAAGACCTTCTTCCCTTCTGGGGCTGGAAATTCCCACTCCAACCAAGAGAATCTGGCTCACACCATCCACTATCCATTTATTAGAATTTTCGATTCTAGTATATAGGTGTAGAGATATTAGAATTTTCAAGCTGTAGCCTCAGAGAAAATTATGTTGTTTATGAAAGCATAAATGATTAGGTGTGATTCTTTTTTGATTCTCTGACCCTCATTTCCAATGTTATGTGGGCCGCTGTGCCCACCCCTGGCCCCAGACAACTTATTTCATATATCTGAAACACAGTCAGAGTATCTGTCAGAGTCTGCATTCCTTTCCAGGATCTTCCAAGTTCCTAAATGGTTTTTTAAATTTCTGCATACCTTGAGGACTTCTTTAGGACTCTAGCATTCTACGATTTTTAACAATGCATAGTGCTACATATCTCCTACGAAAGGACTATACAGAAGAGCTTTCATGGTCTTTAAAAAAACCCCATGCTCATTCCCCCAATTCCTGGTAAGCATTAAACTTTTTATTGTCTCTATATTCTGCCATGTCCAGAATGTTGGAACTGGAGCCATACACTAATACATGGCTTTCTTAAACGGACTTCATTTGGCAATATGCATTTAACATGCACCAACTGAACCACATCTTTTCATGACTTCACAGCTCATTTCTTTGTGTCACTGAGTAATGTTCTGTCGCATGAGTGTATCTCTTTCTATATTCAATTGTTAAGACATCTTGGGTGCTTCCAGTGTGGGGTGATAATAAGTAAAGGTGCTGTGAATATTCATCTGCAGCTTTTGCCATGGACATGTTTCAAACTCAGTTGAATAAATACCAAGAGCACAAACTGCTGAGTCACTGGTTTTTTTTAGCTGTGTAAGAAACTGCCAAACTGTCTTCCAAAGTAGCTATACCATCTTCCATGCCTGTCAGCTCCTGTCCTCGCCACCTGTGCTGGGTAGCTTTAGTGTCAACTTGACACACCTGGGTTGAGGGAGCCTCAATTGGGGAACTGCCTCTATTGGACTGGCCTGTGGCCATGTCTGAGGGGCATCTTCTTGATGAGTGATGTGGGAGGGCCCAGCCCACTGTGGGTGGTGCCACCCCTGGGCAGGTGAGCCTGTGTTGCATAAGAAAGCAGGCTGAGCAGGGGCCAGGGGAACAAGCCAGTAAGCAGCATTCCTCCATGGCCTGTGCTTCAGCTCCTGCCTCCAGGTTCCTGCCCTGAGTTCCTACCTTGGGCTCCCTGATAAACTGTTACCCTGGAGATGTAAGATAAAATAAACCCTTTCCTCCCCAAGTTGGTTGTGGTCAGAGTGTTTCATCACAGCAATGGAGAGACAAACTATGACACCACTGTTTGGTATGCATCAGTGTTTCTGGATTTCAGTAGATCCAACAGGTGTACAGTGACCATATCCCAGTGACAAAGGGTGCCGAGCATCTTTTCATGTGCACATTTGGCAAAAGCACATCTTCCTGGTGCTTTCAGATCTTTTGCATTCTTTAACTGTATCCTTTGCTCACTGTTGAGTTTTGAGAGCTTTATTTAATATTATATGATAGATAAGTGCTCATCTTTTCCTACTTAGAAATGTTTTATATTCTCTCTCTCTCTCTCTCTCTCTCTCTCTCTCTCTCTCTGTGTTTCTCTGTGTGTGTGATGGCTGGTGGCTGGCATGTGTGTGGAAGAGAGGATAACTTGCGGGAGTCAGTGCTCTCCTTCCTCCATGTGGCCCTAAGGATCAGGCTCAGGCCCTTAAGCTTGGCAGCACCATCCCCTTAACCGCTGATGTCTGTTTTGAGAGTTTTACATTTGGGCTTGTGATCCATTTTGAGCTGATTTAATGAAAGGTATAAGAACTAGGTCTAAATTCATGTTTTCCCACATGGACATACAATTATTCTAACACCATCTGTTGAAAAGACTATTCCTTATTCTATGGAATTAAACTGCTACTTTGTTGAAGACCCCCTGACTGTGTTCGTGGGTCTATTTCCTGTCTACACTTGGTTCTCCTGATAAATGTGTCTGTTCTTCCACCCGGGACCTGCTGCCTTCACTGCTGGGGCTTCACGGTAAGTCTCCAGAGTGCAGCTCAGGACTGTCTCAGCACTCACAGTTGACTATGTGGACAGCATGTTTCACCGCAGCGAGTGTGACGTGCAGTCGCCATCCCATGAGCATGCTACTTTGTTCTAATCAGAGCACATGCGCACGGCTGTCTTCAACTGCTAGATTCTAAAACGCACAGAAATTTGAACACACATATTGAGGGTCAGCTTTGAACTATTCCTGAAGTCTCCCCTGCCAACACCAACACCACTTGTAAGTGTGGAGGGCCCCTGTGTGGCATGGATCTTGCCTGTGTTGGTCAAACCATCCCTGCGTAAGAACATTTCCTGGAAAACTCCTCAAACTTAAGACTTCTATCTATGAAGTCTTCCTTCCACTCCACACCAGCACCTAGACTGAAATAACTGATTCTAAGTGACTTCGAGATGTCCTGTGTGGTTAATGTACCCTGTCAAGTGCATTCCCCATGAGATGCGTTCTTGGTATTCTCCCCCTTTTATGTACTGTCAATGAAAACAGAAAATCTACATGGCAGCAAACCGTGTGACTAGTGACACCACAGCTTTATCGTTGCTTTATTATAACCACACAAACAGTCCTGTAACAGGCTAGTGTGAATCTTCACACTTTGTTCTTTTTCAGCACAGTGTCACTGCCCTGGGTACTCGCCCTTACAGATGGACTACAGAACTCATCTTCTGAGTCTATACAACAACATGCTGGGATTCTGATTAATTTTTTATTTTTAATATTTATTCATGAGTGTCTTGCCTACATGTATGTAAGTGCACCCATATTGTACAATGCGCATGGAGGCCAGAAGGCAGCTTTGGATCCCCTGAAACTGCAGTTAGGAACCATTGTTAGCCACAAAGTGGGTGCTGGGAACCAAAGTCAGGTCCTCTGCAAGAGCAGCCAGTACTCTTAACTGCTGAGCTATCTCTCCAGTCCCAGGAAGCCCTTTTAAAACAGGTGAAAACATGGGGCTGGAGAGATGGCTCAGCAATTAAGAGCACTGGCTGTTCTGGCAGAAGACCAGGTTTGAATCCCAGCACCCACATGGCGGCTAACAACCGTCTGTAACTCTAGTTCCATGGGATCTGACATCCTTTTCTGCCTTCTGCAGGCACTACATGACATGGGTGCACTTAACACACATTCAGGTAATGCATACATACACATGAAATAAAGATAAGAATTAAAAATAAAATATTTGAAACAGGTGAAAACAAGAGTTTTTAAACTTAAACTTGGCAGGGAAGGTGAAGATATGGCTCAGCAGTTAAGAACTCTGGCTGCTCTTGAAGAGGAACCGAGTTCAGCACCTACATGGTGGCTAACAATCAGATGATGGCACTGTTTTGGGAGGTTTTAGAAGGTGTGGCTATCCTGGAGGAAGCCTGTCACTGGGGGTGGGTTTAGAGAGTTCTTAAGCCTTGCTGAATCTCCAGTTGCTCTCTTGCTTCCTGTGCCTGTGTAATCATGTGAGAGCTTAGCTTCTGCTCCTCCTGCTCCAGCCACCTCCAGCCACCTCCAGCCACCATGCCTCCCTGCCATGACTGACTGTAATTCCCCTGGAACCATAAGCTCAAAAAAACTCTTCCTTCTAAAAATGGCTTTGGTCAGTGTTTCTATCACAGCAACAGAACAGTGACTAATACAGTAATACAGTTTCAGGGGATCTGATGCCCTCTTCTGACCTCTGTGGGCATTGCACAATATGTGTGCACTTACATATATGCAGGCAATACAGTCATACACATAAAATAAAAATATAAAATATTTTAAACTTAAACTTAATTTCTTCAAGTAGATGTGTTTATTTGAATAAACACTGTTTTTTTTTCAACATAGCATTAACAAACCTCATTTTTTCCCCATCAATCTGGAAATCTCAGAATAGTTTCTGGTATTTAAGATGCTGTTTAAAAAATGATTCTCTATTTTCCTCTATAGTTGTTTACATGAAACTTGAATCAAATAAAACCCTTGGGATCCCATGGAAACTGAAACATAAGGCAGTTTTATTTCTTCCACATGATGAAATGAACTAATGCTCACCTCCCTTCCATAATCCGCTTCTCTATGCTAAAGGCTTTCATGGAGTCAGCTGCCATCTTGAACCAATCCCCTTCCCAGAACCCAGTAACTGAGGAAAGGAACTGAGAGGAGTCATCAGCGGATTTTAAGCCTGGATTTGGGGTGAGGTGGGGAGGTGTTGGA